CCTGCACCTCCACCTGCTCAGGCCACAGACACGCAACCCCTTGCTCTCAGACCCCGCACTCAGGGAGTCACAGGGGCTCTGCTGTCAAAAGGCACCTGGCTGCCCACTGCTTCGATGCCGGCTCCGAGCCCCGTGTGATCCCAACAGCCTCCTAACCGGTTGCCCTCAGCCGCACAAGGCCTGAGCCCACCCCTTTCAAACCTAAACTGGAATTGAAATACAAGCCTAGGGCCACCTGGGTGGCTCCCTCGGTTAAGCATCCAACTTCAGCTCAGGTCATGACCTCACTGTTGGTTTGTGGGTTTGAGCCCTGCATCGGGCTCTGTGCTGATGGCTCAGAGCCTGGAGCTGCTTCAGATTCTGTGTCTCCCCCTCTCTCTGCCCCTCCCCCGCTCGCACTGTCTCTCAAAAACAAACAAACGTTAAAAAAATAAAAAAATAGATAAAACCTAAACTGGAATTAAAATACAAACCTAGCGGTGCTTGGGTGGCTCCATCGGTTAAGTGTCCGACTCTTGACTTCGGCTCAGGTTATGATCTTGCAGTTCATGGGTCCGAGCCCCTGCATTGGGTTCTGTGCTGGTGTGGAACCCGCTTGGGATTCTGCCTCTCCTTCTCTCTGCCCCTCACCCGCCTGTGCGCACTCTCTAAATAAACTTAAAACCAAAACTTAAAAAATAAAAAAATAAAACCCAAGCCAGTCATGTCCCACCCCCACTCCGAATCCTCCCCTGATTTCAGTCCTCTGATAAAAGCATCAACGGGGCCTGGCCAGATGCTCGCTTCCCTGCCGCCCAGCCCTCTGCTCCCACCACACCCACCTGGGCAGCCAGCACTCCCCTGCCCCAGGGCCTTTGCAGCCGTGCCTGGAGACCTCTCCGCAGGCATCCTAGGCTTATTCTCCCACCAGGTCTCTGCTCACACAGTACCTCCGTGAGCCCCCTGGACACTCTAACGTCACAAACTACCCCGTTCTTTCGTTTTCTCCATTGCTGGCTCTGAGTTACCCTTGACGTGCCCTTTCAGCACCACCTTTCTGTGCTCTCGTAACCACCCCCCACCCCGCCCTGGGACAGTGCCCCATGCCCAGCAAGTCTCTGTGGTGCTTAGCGAGTCTTCATGGATGAAAGAATATGCACTCTAAGATTTGTACGGTGTGCACACATAAATGTTTTAAAGAGCAAGTCCAAAATGATATTAAGGTAGGGAGAGAATGAGTGCCTGCTTTTTCTTCTGTTCTCTGCAACATATTTAAATTTTTTTTTAACGTTTATTCATTTTTTGATGGTGAGAGACTGAGCACGAGCAGGGGAGGGGCAGAGAGAGAGGGAGACACAGAATCCAAAGCAGGCTCCAGGCTCCGAGCTGTCAGCATAGAGCCCGACACGGGGCTCAAACTCACAGACTGCGAGATCATGACCTGAGCTGAAGTCGGATGCTCAACCGACTGAGCCACCCAGGCGCCTCCGCAACCCCCCCCTTTTTTTTTTTTAATGTACAGGGGCACCATGAGTTTGAGCCCCGCATTGGGCTCTGTGCTGACAGCTGGGAGACTGGAGCCTGCTTCGGATTCTGTGCCTCCCTCTCTCTCTGCCCCTCCCCTGCTCGTGCTCTCTCAAAAATAAATGTAAAAAATAAAATTTTTTTTAATTAACCTAAAAATCAAAAAAGCAGGCTGAGCCCAGCTCCCCCTGTGCTCTTTCCCAAATGTTAGGACCATGTATTTCTCTCTAGGAAAAGGGGTGAAGGCAAATGATAAGAGCTCAGGCGGTGGGGTTGGGGTGCATGAAAGCCTGTGCGTGCGAGCTGCCCAGGGCGGACCCCCAGCTGACACTGCGTAGGCACCGTGGTGTTCCAGAGACCCAGTGACGGTGCAGGGCCACCAGCAGAGGCTGTGGGTCACTGCCCGCAAGTTCTGCACCCACCAAAGCCTGCTTCGGCCTCTGCTTCGTCGTCGCAAGGTGGGGACACTAGCAGTTACCTGGTAGGGCTGCGGGTCCTTAGTAACTGCTGCTGGAGAAGGTGGTGGGCAGGGTGAGGGCCCCAAAGACACCCGCGTCCTCATCTCAGAGCCTGTGAATACAGCACCTTGTGCGGCAAAAGGGACTTAGCGTTTTAATTAGATTGCCCTGGATTTTCAGACAAGTTTATGGAAAAATTACACCAGATGCTTCTTCCTCAAAAAGTATTCCAAAGGGGATCACGAATGACACGAACTTTCACCTCTCAGGGAAAAGCTACTTGAAAGATATAAAGAGAAAGGCTAGTTTTAAGCTGATCATTTCAAGAGGATTTCCAGTCATGGTCTTTCTCATGTTAAAAATCTCACTGATTAAACTACAAAGAAGATTCAAACATTCTAAGAGCAAGGACTGGAATCAAGTCACTTCTATCTGATCAGGACCCCGAGGGTTGTAAGGACACCCCTTGGCCGGGGAGAGGTGGGGTTCCCGGGTGTCCTTTTCCTCTTGCAGAGGCAGAACGTGTCAATTGTGTGGAATGATGAGACTCCCTATTTTTTTTTTAAGTTTATTTGAGAAGAAGAGAGTGAGTGGGGGAGGGGCAGAGAGAGAGGGAGCGAGAATCCCAAGCAGGCTCCACAGTGTCAGCACAGAGCCTGACTCGGGGCTTGAACCCATGAACCAGATGGTGACCTGAGCCGAAGTCAGGAGTCAGACGCTTAATGGACTGAGCACCCAGGTGCCCACAGACTCCGTTTTTAAGGTGCCTCCAGGAGCAGCACCAAAGAACTCAAACTCCACTGCAAGTAGCACGGAGGCTCCAGGCACAGGCAGCACGGGAGAGCCACACACGGTCCTCGGACCGAAGCAGCCACCCGTGAGGGGGACAGGCCAGGAGCACGGCCACGTGGCGCTCGGGGTTCTAACAGGCAGGATGAGCCCGAGCCCCGACGGCACCAGCCCGTCAGCGGAGATCCAGAAGCCAGAGGGGATGCCAGCTGAACGGAGTCTCAGGGGTGAAGGGGAGGAGCCAGGCAGAGGGAAGAGGAGGGTGCTGGACCCGACCTACAGGACAGGAGCAAAAGCGGGAAGGCCAGAGGCTCAGGGATGCTCGTGCGGAATCCAGGGAAGACTCTGCAGGGGAGGCGGTGGAGAGGGAGACTTTCTGCAGGGCGGGGAGGGGGAGCGCCAGTCTCTGCTGAAGGGAAAGGAGCCTGAAAGGGGAAGGAGGGCCAGAGCCCCGGGGAGAGGCAGGTGGGGGCAGGGGGAAGAGTAAGGCATCCGGTTTACATTCTGCTTTGGATTTTTCATTTAATGATGGGAGAGAGAACTACAGGAGAAGTTTGGCTACCAAGACCTACACAAAGAGGAGGAGAAAGCAGGGTGAGGCAGCAAAAGCCCCCCCCCCCCCCCCGGCACCCCAGGGCTCTCCCTGCTCTCAGCACTTCTGAGCAGCACGCAGATCAAGAACCCCACGAGGGGGGCGCCTGGGGGGGGGGGCTCAGTCAGTTAAGCGTCCGACTTCGGCTCAGGTCGTGATCTCACGGTTTGAGATTCAAGCCCCACGTAGGGCTCTGGCTGGCGGCATGGATTCTCTCCCTCTCTCTGCCCCTCCCCCACTGGCTCTCTTCCTCTCAAAATAAACGAATAAACTTGAAAGAGAAAACAAACGAACCCCAGGAGAATCAGGAGCTAGAACCCAAGCAGAGTCACAGACTTGGAGCAACTCGGCCACCTCCACGCCGCCCCCACCCCTCTCCCCCACCCGCCGCCCCAGCAGGGACAGCAGACAGTGCCCTCAGCACCAGCAGATGCCCCACCGAAGGTGTGAGAAGCAGGGGAGGGTAAAGACCCGTGAACAGCTAAGAGGTAAAGTCCTGACAGGCCGCTTTCACTCCCGAACCACAGAAAACAGCTCACGGTGCTCAGACCGCACTCCGAGCCCGGAAAGCCAAAACGGTCACTCCGCTCACCGACCTAAGCTTGTTCTCACTCTCGTGTTGAGCACTGAATGCTGAGCCCATCTAAATTAGACTGGGCCCCGAAAGCCCACATGAGAAAAGGGAGCTCTCCTCAGTGTATACAAAGTGACATCCGACTGGGGAAGGGGGGGCGTCCCACTAGGATGCTGTGTGGACAAAGGGGTAAAACTTCCCTCCCGCCACCTGGGAGTTCGGTGTCCTTGGCCCGACCATGAGCTGCCCCGAATCTCGAGGGACAGCGCCCCATCTGGCGCTCACGTCCCTCAGGACAGGCAGCTCCCGACTGGGCGGCTGCCACCACTAACACTCCCGTTTTATGGAGGAAACAGCGGCACCCCCTCCCCGCCCCCATTTAGGAAGGTTCTGCTGAATCATAAGTGAAGTTTCAAGATTGCACAAACAGCCAAGTTCTGCTCCCGATGGAGAACAGCTACTCATAAAGCGGAGAACAGCTACTCATAAAGCTGAGTACAGTGTGGGCATGGCGGGTGTGGAGCACCACAGAGGAAACAAAATAACCCGAGTCTTCCTGGCCCCTCAGGGGACACAGCTGTGGGATGGAGAAGTTTTGTTTTTTGTTTAATTTTTCTTTTTTGAGAACAAGCGAGCGAGCAAGCCAGAGAGGGTCAGAGAGACTGGGAGGGAGAGAGAATCCCAACTAGGCTCTGCACCAGCCATGTGGAGCCCGACTCGGGGCTCGAACTCATGAACTGTGAGCTCACGACCTGAGCCAAAACCAAGAGCCGGATGCTTAACCGACCGGGCCACCCAGGTGCCCCTGGGTAATTCTTGCTTCTGAAGTGAATGTTCAACATTATAAATCAAAAAATGTTATCAAAACATCACAAGATGCACATGGACACTTAGGCCATTTCCCAGATTTAAATCCCAAGCAGCCTATTGGCCAAGAATTTCTCTCCCAGAAATAACGTGGCCCTTTGTTCACCTGGCGTCCAGGGCTAGTTGTCTGCACATGAGACCCTCTGGAACATTAGCTTAAGTTCCCAGAGGTGGGAACTTGTCCCATTTACAAAAAGAAAAGTCTGGGCCACGAAAGTTCCACTTCTAAGGATTTCTTTATCGTTGATAATAGTTATACAATTTGACATTTGAAAACAAAGTTCCTCATGAGGACTGCACAGATCGGTCTGCAGAGAAAGGTACGATTTACACAAAAGCCACAGGAGCCCCATGCGGACGGCTGTCCCGGAGAGGCACGGAGATGGGACAGAGGCTGCAGGCCACGCTCAGGGGTCAGGTCTTCCGAGGACGAGAGCGAGGAGGGCCCAGGTGGCCACCACGCCACAGACCCTGCAAGACAGAGCGCGGGTCAGCGGTGCCGGCTGGCCAGACGGCTGCGTGTGCACTGGCAGGCGTGAAAGCCCAGACACGCGGGCCCCCCGCTCTGTTGACCCAGACCTTCCTGTCTTCCCGTCACTTCCCCAGCTCGAGCTTCTGCAGAAGGGCTCCGAGACCCACCCGGACCGGTCGTCCTCCTAGCGGTTTACATCAAAGGTTGGCAGGCAGGAAAACATCGCCAAGGGGCCGAACGTCTTCAAGCATGCCGTTTTCTATACATGCGGCTCCCAACCGGCAAGCCGAAACCCTTACGAAGCAACTCCACCTTTCAGTTACGCGGGCCAAAAAACCCCGATTCAAACTCGACCCTGCTCCAGTCTGCCCGAGACCCCCTTGGGCGCCCCCCTCTGCTGCCATGCAGTCCAAGCCCCAAAAGCCGATGGCACGCCTGCCTGGCTCCCCGACTTCCTCCCTGGCCCTCCGTGTCCTCTGCAGTCTGTGTCCCACCTCTGCTGAAAACCTCTGACCACCCGAGGCTTCGCCCACGGCCCTCACCCGCAGCCCTCCAGCCCTCCAGCCCATCCGGCCCACGTACCTGTCCCTTCTCTCCTCGTGGCCCCTCTCGAGGGCCTCCGCCCGCTGCCTGGACACGGTCCACCCCCGCGCTCTGCCTGGCTCGTTCCCTCACCTCCCTGGAGACTTTAATGGGGTCCCACCTTCTCCTTTAACTGTCCGCCCCTCTCTGGCCCTCCACTCCCACCTCCTGACGGGCTCTTCTTTTTAACAGACACTTGTCACCTGATCTGTCATGCAATTCACCTGCTTGTCACCTCCCACTGGAGTGTGAGTTCCACAAGGGCAAGATTGCGCTTTGTTCATTGACGAAGGCCTAGAACCTAGGCCAGCACCCAACACAGCGGACGTTTACTAGAGCCCTGTCCGGTCTCACTGACTAACGTTCAGGCCACCATACGCGCCAAGGACCCCTTGACCACACGCTAGCCAGGGAACCGTGCCCCACTCAGCCCCAGCTGGCGCCGCGGGCCAGTCCAGAGGGCAGCCTCGGCCCTGGTCACTTACTGCAACAAGCAGTTGATGTCAGGGGAGTGTCTCCAGTACCGATAGAGGGAGATCTGCAGGGTGGGGTGGCCCCGGTACTCCCTCAGGATGCTCCGAGCGCTGCCAAAAGAGGGTCTCAGGTCAGGCACGCAAGTACCAGCCCTGCATCTCTGAGCAGGCAGCAGGAGGCCGCAAGGAGACAGGGCGGGCTGCGGGGTGGGAGGACGGGCTGAGAACCCAGGCACCTACTCCTTGAACTTATTGGTCAAGAGCAGGAACTGGCTCCGTGACAGTCGCCGGACATCGAACTTGCAGAGATTCTGAAACTCACGATACACTTGCTGCTCGCTGACCCCAGGCCACCTCCGGACGCTGAGGAGGAGGATGGGAGGTCGGATACTGGGGTAATCTGGACCAGAAAAGTTCTAGAAGACAGGGAGAAGAAAGGAGATTCTCTGCCATTCCTACTGGCAACCTACCCCAGGGTTTGAAGACCCTGAGAGAGGCTAGGAAGGGCTCTGTCTGGGCTGGGAGGGGAAGGAAGGAACGAGCGCGTCCACACGGGTTTGGGCAGGAAGACACAGAATAAGCCTAGCAGGGCGGGAGCGCCCCCTTCTGAGAGACCCCCAAACCAGACTGCTCCCCGCATGCGGCTGAGTAGGGGAAGGAGCAAAACAAAAGCTACTCACGATCTTAGGGACCCCGGCTCGGATAAGATTCACCTGGTTCACATAGGGAGCCAGCACATCGAGGTACAGAGGGAAGGACAGCTCAGGCAGGGAGCCAGCTCTACGGGGACAGAGAAAAGCCCAGAGCACTCAGGCATGCCAACGGTTACACACAGGTCCTCGGCCACAGCTGAGGGTCCGGGGACAACAGGGGAAGGCCCTTCCTCCCTCCAAGTCCACGTGCTTCCCCCAACCAGCCAATCTCAGAGCTCTGTCCAGGCCCAGGCCAAAGCAGAACTTCCACTTTGGTAAAGATCCCTTGACAAACATTAGCAATGGGCTCAGAGAATTCGTGAGAGGCCGCTGTCCCCAGGTCCACTTTATCATCCCTTGATGGGACCATCACCCTTGATTCCAAAAGGCCGTCCCTCACCCCTCGACCCACCACGCCCTGCCTCTGTCCAGACACCACCAGACCCCTGAGCACAGGTCTGTGAGAAGACACAGGCCTTGGAGCCAGGCAGGCCCAGCAGCCATAGAACTTCTCTAAATCTAGGAGGGCTTTTAGGTCATGAGGATTCAATCAAATAAAAGGATGTAAGGCACCCAGGTGCCACTTCCGGACGCTAAGGAGGAGGATGGGAGGTCGGACACTGGGGTCATCTGGACCGGAAAAGTTCTAGAAGACAGGGAGAAGAACAGAGGAGATTTTCTGCCATTCGGGCTGTTAGCTGCCTTCACCGTCTGGCACGTGGGTACCTCCCAGGGAGCACGGAGATGCGGTCAGAGCTCAGGGAGGAGCAAGAGGGGGCGGACTTCCTATTTAAGTTATAAGCCTCACATCAATAGTTCAGAGGATTGCTATGCATAACGTCCATTACCAAAACAGACAAAAAGGCAGTACCAAGGTTAACAGATTAGTCCAAAGTTATTAGCTTTCACTGGTCCGCAAAGGTTTCCAAGTCGGCCTCAAGGACCCTGTGTTTCAATTCTGATGAGCTCCTCACCTGGCCCAAATCCTACACAACAAACACGGACACCCAGCCGGCGCTACAGAATGTGTATTTCACGTGTGGTGTCACCGCCTATGAGCGGATGCTGGAAGCGTCGAGGATGATGTCACCACGCATTCCAATCTGGGGTTTTAGAAACACTTTCCTATATGCCCGATTCCCAGTCCCTCCTTCTCCCCGGCCTGACTGTGGGGACCCCCAGGAGGGGTCCCTTATCGGCCTGGACACTTAGCCCTCCTACCTCACTGTGACACAGTGATGAAGAACAGGCAGGTAACCAAGCAAGCTTACACCCCGGGAGGCACAGCTGGCCTTACCGCCTCGGCCTCCCGGCACGTGAGTTTTCCCAGTGGGAACACAGGGGCCAGGACCAGCAGGGAAGGCCACCCTGAGGAGGAAGTCTGCTTCCCCGGGCAGGGACTGCGTGTACATAGCGCCCCACACGCTCCCTTTGGGACAGCCGCGGGAGCCGGGAGCCTTAGCTCACACCCAGCGAGCCCCGTTCCCGTAACAGGATGGAAGGAACACTCACCCATGTACTCTCCACAGGAGCAAATGTGCCACTTTCAGAAGAACTGGGGACAAAACGCTAGAGATATAACAGACGTCCAGCCTCGACCAGCTCCCCTTATCAAAACATGCAAAGCCATGATTTCTGTGATGTGCAACCCACCTAGAAATGAACGGAGAGCCTCGGGATTGGGGAGGGGGGATCATCCCCAATAAAGCGTGAGCCTCCCCCCACCAAGTGTAACGACAGCAACTCTCACCTGAGCCACAGAGGAAAGCATCATACGCAGCCTCGTGGGGGTACTTGGTCTCAGCTGAAGCCGTGTTCCAGAAGCGGGAGAGAATCAGGCAGCCGTCAGAACGCGGCCTGGACAAGGAACCTCCTCTCCGCCCAGCTCCACACCCGTGCTGGCCGCACACGCACCACCACCAACCATCGCTCCTCCAGAGACGGGTGTGCCCTTCTTCCCACCCGCACCCACCTTCACCCCAGATCCCCCACGGCAGCAGGAAGCCGAGGCAGAAAGCCACCCAGCAGGCTAGTCACATGTCAAAGGGGAGCAGACGCCCCCCAGGAGGTCGTGAAGCCTTCCAGAAGGACTCCTTTTCAGGGTGGGGGGGGTCACGTGGAACACAGACAGGAAAATGATGGAGCACCCACGTAACCCTCCCACACACACCTGCCCACGGGGAGACCAGGCCATAGCCTCCCTATGGGGGCCACCTCCCCACGGGGAGACCAGGCCAATACTCAGCTGCCTATGGGGTGGCCCCAGCTCACGGGAACATACCGTATTTTTCGCACTTGCTTGCGTGAATAATCACTGGCCCGGAATTTTTGGTAGGATTCAAGTCACTAGTACAGAAGAAAAACAGCGTAAAGCATAGTCACAGAGGGGCGTCTGGGTGGCTCAGTCGGTTAAGCATCCAACTTCGACTGAGGTCATGATCTCACAGCTCGTGGGTTTGAGCCCCGCGTCGGGCTCTGTGCTGACAGCTTAGAGCCTGCTTCAGATTGTGTCTCTCTCACTCTCAAAAATACACGTTAAAAAAGAAATTAAAAAAAGAAAAAGCAGTCACTGAAAATAAGCCCTTCTTGGTATCTCCTCACCGTCTTATGCTAATATAACTAAAAGCGTCCCCAGGACTGGGGTGCCTTTTTGAAAGAAACAAAAAGGCACAGGTCCAGGAACAGGCGGATGAGGTCTCAGTAAGCAGGCAGCAGCACAGGTGAAGACGGCGAGAGAGGCTGCTACTAGGTCACTAGAGTACTGGCCACACGCTTAGCCTGAGTGAGGAACCTGGATAAAGTTGACACTGGCTCTGCCCAGGGAGCACGCACCTGGTGACCCAAAGGACACATACAGAGCTGGCCCTGCAGCGCCCGAGGCACTAACAGTGCACTGGAGGGTACAGAGGCTGTGGGCAGGAGGGACGGAAAGCTTCCTGAAGGAGGAAGCACTCCATGAGTCCTGAACCACAGGAACTCGCTTGGCTGAAGCGATGGGGAGGCGTCTGGCATCTCTCGCACAATGAAGGCGCAAAGGCAGTGAGGGAAAGGGAGCAAGGCCTGACCTGTGTGTGTGTGTGTGTGTGTGTGTGTGTGGCTGGAGCCCCCGAGGGAAAGGCAGGGGCCAGTGAAAGAGCTCAGCTGTTGGCAGCGGGGGCAGGGGGAGGTGCTTGAGGAGTATCAGAAAGGCAGAGGAGAAACACAGGCCAGTCAAGTTCACATTTTAAAAGATCACTTGAGGGGCACCTGGGTGGCTCAGTTGGTTGAGCGTCCAACTTCGGCTCAGGTCGTGATCTCACGGTCTGGGAGTTTGAGCCCCGCGTCGGGCTCTGTGCTGACAGCTCAGAGCCCTGAGCCTCCTTCGGATTCTGTGTCTCCCTCTCTCTCTCTGCACCCCCCCCCCCCGGGGTGTGTCTGTCAAAAATAAACAAACATTAAAAAAAAAATTTTTTTTTTAAAAGAGCACTTGAGCAGCAGTGGGAAACAAGGTAGGACAGGCCATGAGGCACCCATGGGGCTACCAACATCCCTGGAATGAAAAATACTTGGGGGCACCTGGATGGCTCAGTCAGTTAAGCAGTTGACTTCAGCTCAGGTCATGATCTCAGTTTGTGAGTTCAACCCTGCATTGGGCTCTGTGCTGACAGCTCAGAGCCTGGAGCCTGCTTCAGATTCTGTGTCTCCCTCTCTCTCTGCCCCTCTTCCGCTTGTGCTCTGTCTCTGTCTCTCAAAAATAAACGTTAAAAAATTAAAAAAAAAAAAAAAAAGGAAAATAAAGATTGGGGCAGTGATCCTGGGGATGCAGAGAAGGGCAGACTTGACTATAGACATTCAGGGCGGAAGACAGACAGAACTCGCCTGACCAGCAGACATGGCTGGCTCGGCCCGTGCAGGTCTCGGCTGTGGCACGGGTGCCCCCACTCAACGAGAAGACCTTCCCTCCATTTTCCGCCACAGCTTCTGAGAACTGGGTCTGTGCCCAGTGTCTCGGAACACTGGTTTCCTCATCTGTTCAAGGAGAGTGGCTGCTCGGTTTAGGACCGTCAGCAGCACGGCCAGTGGCGAACGTGTCACAGCCGCAGGCCCAGCGCAAGGCACAGGTCTCGGTCCTTTCTCACCAATGAGCACAGGAAGTCCCACGGCGGCCTGTGCGTCACCTAGAGTCATTTTCTCGGGTCACAGGCCATGAAACTCAGGCCCAGAGACACTACTTTTCTCAAGGTTGCTGGCAAGCCACCGGGTCGCAAAGCTGGGGCTCAAACCCGAGAGGTCTAGATTCAGAGCCCGTTAGTAACGGGCAAAACTCTGGCGCGCACACCAGCCCTGAGCACGGCACCAGAAGGACGTAGAGGAAGCTGCTCCAGCACAGCAGTGGGTTTGGGGGGCAGAGAACAACGCCAGGTTAGACGCGCTTGCGGCCACGTGGGGTAGGAACATCAGGCAGACAGGCGGCTCGCCAGGGGGGCCCCGGAGGTCCGAACGGCAGTCACGGCGGCGGTAGCTGAAGCGAGAGGGGTGGATTCGGTCACCCGGGGACACAGCAGTGAGCAAGAAGGAGGCCGAGGAGCGACCCTGGGAGCGAGGGGGAGGGGTGGAAGAACAAGAGCCCACGGGAGTGAGTTAGAAACGAAAACCCTCCACAACTCCACCAGAGGCTACCATCAACGGTGCAGGAAGAGAGGGGCCCGGGGTGCCAGGAACGCACCCATGAGTCAGCCCATCGGCCGAGACCGCGGAGGAGTTTGCACTGGGCAAGCTCACAAGAGCAAGTTCCGTGAAGGAAGAAAACCCGGCCTCGGTGGGCCGAGGCGAAGTAGAGGCCCCTGAAGATAAGTCGCAAAGATAAGAACAAAGACCATGTTGCGAGAAGAGAGTCAAGTGGGGAGCTGTCGTTTCTGGGTCGGGCTGATGACGAGGGAAAGGAGAGGGCCAGGAGGAGGGCCCCGAGAGGGAGGCCATCCAACCAGCGGAGGGACAACGGGACTAGAGGCTGGGCAGGTGGGCGGAGGGCAGCCCTTCCCTGCCTGGACCCTGCACACAGTAGGCGCTCACATGTGCCGACTGGCAGGAGATCCTGCCACAAAGGACAACACTGCAGAGGTCTGGAGGGGAGGGGAGGGGACCCTTCCTGCATCTGGGCCCCATTTCTTCCGGGAAATGGGGCCCAGGAAGGCCATCGGAGGAAGGAGACATGAGGCATGAGGACCCAGAGGAGACCGTCACATGCTGAGCCGCAGGGCACCCCTGCGGGCTGTCACAGGACAATCGCAGACAGAGGCGTCCTTCCAGAACGGTCCCACCTCCAGCTGCCATTGCTCAGGTTTGCTGCTTCCCCCCCCCCCACCTCCCCCCAGGACGGAAAGGCACAGCACCCCCACCCTGGCGCCTTCCAGGCACCGCATCCCCACCAGCAGGCCCCCAGACCACAGCGGATCAGGGCTGTGAGGGGAAGTGGGAGCCACCGCTCCTGCAGGAAGGTCCGGGGCCATTCACTCAAGTGTTCAGAGCGTGCCCACCCACACCACGGCAGGCGGGGGGACAAACATCAGGGCACTGAAGGAAAGAAGCCTGTTGTGCTAGAGCTTTTCACTCCAATCAGAAAGACATCAAAAGAAGTTAAACCCTGGCCACGAGAAACCACCATATACTTCAGTAGCTGTAGACATTTTACCTGCTTCCTGCCCCTCTAGGCAGAGTTTATCAACCTCAGCACAGGAATGTCAGGGGCTGGAGAATTCTTTGCCATTGGGGGCTGTCCTGTGCATCCTGTCTACTTGCCAGACACGACAGCCCTCCCCACCCCCCAACGACCAAAAGGATGTGTCCTGGGGAGTAAAATCCCCCCACCCCCCATCAAGAACCCCCTGCTCTACGAGCAGCTCCCTCCCCCCGCAAAAAAAAACAGCCTCCTTACCTGTTTAGGACTTCATAAACTTCTGAGAGATTTGAAACCCTTGGGAAATTCAGTTCCTAGAATTATGGAACAAATCAGAATAAAACTTGTGCTTTTCTTATCCGCTTGGGGATTGCCGATGGCCACTGAAGGATCCTGGAAAATAATTCCTATAAACTCCTCTTTCTATTCAAAGATCAGGGTCTTTATCCCTTGATTAGGGCCCTAGCAGCACCCTTGGGTTTTCTAGAAGGTACCCAATACCCTAGGCTAGAAAAACTGCAATAACTCCTACCACCTTCCTACAAAGGCACGTGTCTAAGGGGTTCTGTAAACATATGCCTCCAAGGCACCAGACCATGGCCAAGGACACACATGTGGACACCAGGTGCTCTAAGAACCGGAGAGCCTTGGGCAACGCCAGGTCACCCCGAGCTCCTCTCCGCTTGTGTGGCAAGAACACGTGGGTTCCCTCCGATCAGCCCACACCCTTCCTGCTTCACCCTTGGACTCTGTCACATGGAGATGCACAGCATCACAGACCCGCGGAAGAGCTGGAAACTGGGGAGGGACAAATGATAAACATGGCTCTAAGCAAAGGGGTACCAAGTAACCCAATGCCTTTTTTGTAGCTCCCTTACTGAATAGTTAGGTGACCAGCTTCGGGCTTTAAAATGCTGATCTGATTCCCCTCTCTCTGTTCCTCAGTTTAAGTTCTAAGAAGCATTCAAGCCAGTTGGGTGCCTCCCTTCTCCATGTGCAATTCATACCCTAACTGTGCAACAGAAGTCACCTGGGAGTTTTAGAAACACCACTGTTGGGGCGCCTGGGTGGCGCAGTCGGTTAAGCGTCCGACTTCAGCCAGGTCACGATCTCACGGTCCGTGAGTTCGAGCCCCACGTCGGGCTCTGGGCTGATGGCTCGGAGCCTGGAGCCTGTTTCCGATTCTGTGTCTCCCTCTCTCTCTGCCCCTCCCCCGTTCATGCTCTGTCTCTCTCTGTCCCAAAAAAATAAATAAAAACGTTGAAAAAAAAAAATTAGAAACACCACTGCACCCCCAGCCCCCTAAACCATAGGAAGCTGGTGGTGGGGTCCAGATGGCAGGATTTAGCTTCCCAGGTGATGGTATCGTGCCCAGGGTTGAAACCCATGACCTTAAGGCTCAGCAGAGATCGTTAAGAGCCCTCAGAGCCTCCCCACCCTGTTGAGCAGGCCGCAGATACTTATCACGCACGTATCAAGCTCTAGAACAAACTGCTCCGTGTGGTGCTTTAGATCGGACAAGCTACATACAACTCCGTCAAAACATGGGAACTTGGATGAGGGAAGGAAAAAACTTACAAGCTAAGATGATAACCCAACGTGAAAATACAAAGGAAGTTGTTACTGGTTGTAAAATAGGAGAGAAGGATTTGAGGAACAATTTTTAAAAAAGAGACGGAGTGAGGGCACATGGGTGGCTCAGTCAGTTAAGTGTCCGACTTCAGCTCAGGTCATGATTCAAGCCCCATGTCGGGCTCTCTGCTGACAGGGCTGAGCCCATTTGGGATTCTCTCTCTCCCTCCCTCCCTCCCTCCCTCTCTCTCTGTTCCTCCCCTGCTTGCACTCTCAGGAGCTCAGGCTCTCCGTAAACAAACTTTAACAAACTGGGACAAAGCAATCCCGTTCCTTACCTTCCAGATGTCCTTTGTCACATTCTTGGTGTCAATGAGAACAGGAAATAGGTTGTGAATATTCAGCTTAAATTGATCATAGCTTTCTGAAGCAAAACACCAGATAGAAGGGAGTATGTAGATAAAAATGGGAAGGAAGATTCTCCAACCTAGCTTGTCACCAACACTAATTCACAAACAAGGCAAGCAAAACAGAACAAAATGGGAATTAAAAACATCCTTTCTCCTAGTCATTAAGGATTTTAAATCTCAAACCAACCTGCCATCACCTTTTGTGGTGGTGAAAGCCAGACGGTTTTCCAATAAACTCAGGATATTGGCTATTGTCAACGCTAGTTAACGTAGTTGTGGTGTGAGCCAACGCGCACAGGGAGAAAGAAGTGCTATTGAAAAGCGGGTATGAAATGGTCTGTAAGGGACTGTTTAGAGGAAAACAGAAAAAAAAAAAAATCAACTAAAAATTCTAAGTGCCCTGATTAAAAAAAAAAAAAAAGCTATTAAGCTATTAATTGGTATATTTATCAAAGGACTACCTGTATGGAGTTTAAAGAGATTTATGGCAAAACAAACCAAAGCAAACCCCACTCTCCTCTGCCCGCTCCCCAGGCAAGCGCTTTCCATGTTCTTTCTCTGGGTGTTTGTTCCCAGACCTGCAAAGGCGCTGTGCTGCGGGTTGGGTTTCCCCAGTTTTACGCATCCACCTGTCGACTGCCCGCTGGGTGAGAGGACAGCCCGTCTCATCCCTGGCTCTGCCCCCTGCTCCCCTCTCTGCCCCCAATGCCCCCTCATGTCCCTAACACCCCTCCCCACCCTTCCTGCTCTCACAGGGGCCAGGCCGTGGTCCCCAACCTCTCCTTTCTTACCCAGGTTTTGTTCTCCCAGCAGTTTTGTTTTGTCTTGGTTTTTCTGGCCAGCGCGCATTAATTTTACCCCTACTTGTCCCTCGATTCTCTCCATATGCTCAAACTGAGGGGTTTTATCATTTCCGGGGAAGTCTTAAAACTTTCCCACCCTTTTAATCTAGACAACGTACACTATTTCATTTAATCCCCCAATACTAGGATAGCGCCATTATTATCACCCCCTTCTTACAGGCAAGGAAACTGAGAAAGCACCTTGCCGGAGCTAACACGTGTGAGGAGGGTTGGAGGACGACAGAAGCAGGGCTCTCGAGTCCAAGCCTTTAACGGCTGCAGGACACTGTCGTACATCCGATGAGGGCACCAGTCAGGCAAAGTGTGGCACAGCCAGAAGACAAGGCCACACAGCCACCGAAATGACGTTAGGTTAACGGCATAAATGCTTTGGGTAAGTGGGGGGGAAGCCAAATGCAAAATCATGTAGCGCGATCAAATTTGTGATAAGTCCCGGGGGAGGGGGGGGCGCCCCAGGAATCAAAGCGTTAGGATTATAGCGGAGACGGAAGGCAGCTTCCTCTCTCCTCACATTTCTGATCCCACAAGGTCTCACGCAATGGTACACGACAGCTGCCATCAAGGCGGGGACGGGATCAAGCCGAATGGAAGTCTTTCTGCCGGAAAGTCACCTGGCTTGCACTGGGGGATAAAGGGAACAGGCACAGATCCGCCAGACCCCCGGAAGCCCGCGGGTCCCGGGGAGGGGTACGTGGAGGGGCTACCCTGGGGCAGGACAGGGGCCCAAACCCCGTCTGGACGTGAAGGGAAGACCGGGAGGGGGTGGCGGGCACGCCCATACCTGGAAGCGGCCGGAAGAACTTCTCGTGCAGATGCAGTAGGTCTGTCATCATGTTGTGGCCCACCAAGGGCTGCTTGGAGGGATGGACAGGCGGCAGAAAGGAGGGTTAAAACCAGACATCCTGGGTCCACATTCTCCCGCGGGGGGGGGGGGGGGGGGGGGGGGAAAAACCCCGAGCACCCCCCCCCCCATCCCCCCCCCCCCCCCCCCCCCCCCCCCGGCATCAGAACCCTGAGATCCCACCACACAGTATCCCCCCTCACCACCCCCTCCCATGAGAAGCGGCCCCTATGCGCAGATGCCAGAAAGAGGACGAGCAGGGCTTGGAGGGATGTGGGGCAGGGTCCACGCCGGGGGCTAAACTGAAGCAATTCCCCCCAAGCAGTTCCGGGTCAGCTAGTCATGACGTGGGGGTCGGGAACCTTAGTGTTTTATGCAGACCCTCTGTCCCCGCTTAACCCGTCGCGATCTGGGGAAAGAAGGCTACATCCAGAAAGCCGGTTATCAACAAGAACGGACCGCTTCTATCTCAAGGCATCTCATTCTTGTTGGCAGCCGCAGCGCATCACCATGGTCAGAAATACGAAAGACGGCTGGAGGCCAAGAAGAGAGATTTTTCCCTACCTTCTGGGCTTTCACCAGCATCTGGAAAAACACAGAAAAACCCCTCGCAGAGAGAAGAATCTTCTCCTTCCAACAGCTCTCTCGATCGCAGGAGGTGTTCTCAAGGTACCAGCGATGCTGTTTGCTCACTTTTTTCACTATGATCTGAGACAAAAGTAGAGACGAGTCCTCTGAATCCCGGGTTCCTGGGAACGTAGCCATAATCTCACAAAAGGGGGGAGACGAGAGAGAGCCTTTCTCAGAGGCCAAGGGAGAAACAGAGCCCCTGAGGCTGCCCACCCCCAGGCGGGAACTCACCCCCTGGTCTCTCAGGACCGTCCAGATGTTGGGGAGGGCCTGCCTCAGCACCAGCTGGATCTCAAAGGCCTGGAAGCCTGCGGCAAGGAGACACAAGGCTCATGTGGAACCGCCACAGACGGCGGTTCACCTTCCCCTCGAGAGGAGGAAGGGAAGTGGAGAGCTACATGGAACAAGTGGAGCGCTTCGGCATGCCGCGGCCAGAAGCCCACAGGACAGGACGACACGGCATCCGTTCCCGAAGCTGATGTCCCGGCCACTCTGAAACGGAGGACCCCAAAGGGTCTCTGTGTGGGGGTTACAGCTATTGACGGCCACCACGTTAGCACACTACGCTGAAGGTCATAAAGTTCTCTTTCAAAATGATAAACACAGGGGCGCCTGGGTGGCGCAGTCGGTTAAGCGTCCAACTTCAGCCAGGTCACGATCTCACGGTCCGTGAGTTCGAGCCCCGCGTCGGGCTCTGGGCTGATGGCTCGGAGCCTGGAGCCTGTTTCCGATTCTGTGTCTCCCTCTCTCTCTGCCCCTCCCCCGTTCATGCTCTGTCTCTCTCTGTCCCAAAAATAAATAAACGTTGAAAAAAAAAATTCAAAATGATAAACACAGAGGCCCTTGGGTGGCTTAGTCTGTTGACTGACTGACTTCAGCTCAGGTCACGATCTCGTGGTTCGCGTCGGGCTCCGTGCTGACGGCACGGAGTCTGCTTTGGATTCTGTCTCCCTCTAACTGCCCCTCCCCTGCTCTCGCTCTTTCAAAAATAAGTTGCTGTTGTTTTTTTTAATTAAAAAAACCGAACAGGTATGGGGTGCCTGGGTGGCTCAGGCGGATGAGAGTCCAACTTCGGCTCAGGTCATGATCTTGTGGTTTGTGAGTTCAAGCCCCGCGTGGGGCTCTGTGCTGACAGCTCAGAGCCTGGATGCTGCTTCAGATTCTGTGTCTCCTTCTCTCTCTGCCCCTCCCCTGCTTGTGCTGTCTCTCAAAAATAAATAAGCAAATGTAAAAACAAAACCAAACAAAACAAAACAGATCAGAATGCCTCCAGCTTCTGAGTTGAGGTCAGAGCTTGATCTAACCCCAAGGACAACGTGCCTGCTGAGCTGACGCCCAGGATCCACAAGACAGAGGGGGTACGTTTCCCCCGACCCCCACACCTGCCAGTGACCAGCCCCAACACTCCCAGGCTCGGGGAGAGCCTCCTGCCTACCAGCAATACCAGGGAGAGTCATCCAGTCGCCCTCCTCCGCCAGGTCCAGCCACCGTGTCACCTCATCAATCACCACCTTGATCTGGTCTTTATCCAGAGAACTGAAGGCGGGCAGACAGAAATGGGAGGTTGGAGAAAACCACGGGAACCACAGAACCTCAAGACAGTGTGAACGTGCCAGGGGTTTGGAGGGTGCCAGCTTTAACACGGTGATCCGGGCAACAGAATGGACCCCAAAGGGACTATTTTCTGAGCCTTGCTCTGCAACAGAAAGCCAGACGCTTGGCCTATGCTCTCCCATACATTCGCAGGGGCACGCCCCATCCTTTCTGCCTCACTGGGACGCATGCAGGAAGAGGCCTTGGGAGCGAGCCAACGCTGAGCACTACAGTCAGGCCTGTCTGCTTAATTCGGCCTTTGGGACAATAAAGCACCATCTGGTGACATAAGGAAAAGACAGGAACTTTGGTAAGCACATCTTCTCCCATGTTAGGGACACAAGAACATGATGTTATTTTGAGATGAGGAAAGACTCTTCCCCAACATTTGAAAATAACAGAAGGTTAAAAATTCAAATAGTTTTCCTCTCACAAAAAGAGACATTTTTATTGAAAATCCATGAATGAGGATTTCAGGGGGGAAGAAAAAAGCCCAAAACTTCTGGGGGCGCCTGGCTGCCTCAGTCAGTGGAACATGCAACTCTTGATATTGAGGTTGTGGTTTCGAGGTCCAGCTTGGGTGTAGGGCTTAACAAAAACAAACAAACAAAACCCCCCACCTCCAATAGTACGTAGTTATCTGGACCTGATAATCAGCCAGAACATTCCAGAGCTAAAACTGGTCTAATTTAAGCCCCCTCCCGATAAAGGCAAGACTCTAAAGCTCAAATTGCTGAAGTGACTGGTTGAGCCCTATACAACTGACTGCAGGGCCTGTCTGGGGCCCAGGTGACCACGCGATGCTGTCACTGCATCACTCCTGGCCCAGCTCTACGGCATTACGGGGTTTCCAGTAGGACAACTGGCCCTGGGGCCAAAAAAGAGAGGCAGAGACCCCACCCTCGGGAGCACTCAGATTCAAGAACATGAGGCAGTAGGTCCACGCCGAGGCCTACGACCAGCATGGTCAAGGTTACCCGGGATTTACCCCTGAAACCTCCCCAGGATCACACGGAAAGCCAGCACAACGCGTCACAGGGAGTCCCGCAGAGCCCCTCCCTGCCGTGGCACCAGAATGGAGTGCCTGCTTCTCCACTGGAGTACTGAGTCAAGAGTCGGTTCTTCCCCGCTTCCCTTCACTTTTGAACATAAAGATCATACTTGATGCAGCAAGAGGGCGCTCATCGCAGCGGAAGGAACGGAACCACCGTCACTCTGAGCGGTCCCGTTTGGCTGACTGCATACTGCCGAAGCCACCCCGGTTAAAGGTGACGCCGCGAGGTCACTGTGCTCTCGAGCCAGCACACCTACCCACAGGATACGTGAAAAAACACCAGAAACAGAAACCCACGAAGCACCTGGAGAAACAGGCTTTACCTGCGAACTTTCCAGTTCCCAGTCAGGATGTTGTGTTTGATTTTCTTCTCCTGTTCTTCATTCATATATGGGATCCCGTTTTTGAGAAACTAGACAGGATGAGAACAAGCAGACTAGTGGAGGCATCCTCTGTGCAGCAGGAGCAGATGAAAAAGAAGCCCTCCTTGTCCAGTCTCACGTGCACAGGAAATGAGACGCAGCCCAGCTGGACCAAAGAACCTTTAAAACCTTCCTATCTCTGGGGTACCTGGGTGGCTCAGTCGGTTAAGCATCGGACTCTCGATTTCGGCTCAGGTCATGATCTCATGGTTCATAGGGTCGAGCCCTGTGTCAGGCTCTGTGCTAATAGGGTGGACCCTGCTTGGGATTTTCTCTCTCCCTCTCTCTCTGTCCCTCTCCCACTTGCGCTCTTATTATAAATAAATAAAGCTTTAAAAAAACAAAAAACAAAAACCTTCCCCTTCCCCGCTCTGCTGCCATACCTTGTTGTAGTCGAAGCCATACTGATTCAGAAACTGGACACTGGAAGCCTGGAAAGAGAACTCCGAATCCAAAACCCCAAACGTCGTGGGGAAGAGAAAGAAGTTACATGAATGGGCTACATACCTATAAAAAAATAAACATTAAAAAAAAAAAAAAAGCCAAAGACATTTTTTTCAGTTCTAGCCCACAGAGCAGGGTTCTAAGCGAATTACTTCTTTCACTTGAGAAGTACCTAAACGTTGGCCACTTCTAGTACTGCTGACTGCGCTGGGGCCAAAGGAAAAAGGCAGAGATCCTGCCCTCGGGGAAGAGTCCACCCCCATCCTGAGTCCACCGTTCAGCACGCTTTCTGCCTGCTGGTGTCCAGGAGTCACACCACCCTCATTAGACCTACCCTGAAGGCTCACAGAAACAGGGAGAGGGGCACCGACGTGCCAGGAAAGACCCCCGGAAAAGATGCTGCCCCAAGAGAGACTTGAAGCAGCCAGAACCTGCAGGGGACGGGAGGCCGGAAGGGCACAGAAGGGGAGGAGAACACGGAACATCCAGGGCCAAAGTGCTTCAGAGCCCGGGGCCGAAGACGGAGGGGAGAGCAGGTGGAGGAGATTAGTGGGCCAGAGCCAGGTGTTTTGCAAAAGGTCTTCATACATACTTGTTTGACTCTCCTTCAATACTGGAAAACACAGACAATCCTGCAAGAAGAACAGAGGGAGTGAATACCCAAGCAAAGCTATCAAAGGTTAGCTGCAGAAAGGAAACACTGCAAACGGGTACTCTGCACCTAAAGATACTTTGTATGCCTTAGAATAAGATAATCTCTTAAAAAAAAAAAAAAAGATTAGAAACAGGAGAGCTCTCAAACTGTAATTCACACTGAAATTACTAAACTGTAATTGTGAATGGTTCTTCAAATACAGAAAACTGACATTTTTCTGGTTTTAAAACTAACCGGAGGAAATGCTAAAGAAAACAGAGATTTATACACTGAAGGACTTTAAAATGTCTGCATGGCTAAGAAGACCCTATGGTGAAGTGAAGAAGACTTCAAAGTAGGGGAAGACAACAGAAATATCTACATGCTGTTTCATATACTTTTCAAAGAGGTCTTACCGTTAAGAAAAAAACTGCAACAGAAAAATAGCAAAAGGAGAGAGAACACACACACATGCTCAGCATAGAAAAAGCAAGGGTAAATCTGTTTCAAGACCTTTTTTTGTAAATAAAACTTTATTGAAACATACCATGCTCATTTACATATTATCTTTGGCTAACTTCCAGCAACAGAAAGGTAGCTGTAACAGAGACCATGTGAACGATCTGCAAAACCTAAAAATGTATCGCCTACCCCTTTACAAAAAAGGTTAACCCAGCACTTAAAATGTAGATCAGGCGTGCCTGGGTGGCTGAGTCGGTTGAGCACCCGACTTCAGCTCCGGTCATGATCTCGCAGTTCGTGAGTTCGAGCCCCACATTGGGCTCTGTGCTGACAGCTCGGAGCTGGAGCCTGTTTCGGATTCTGTGTCGCCCTCTCTCTCTGCCCCTGCCCCGTTCATGCTCTGTGTCTCTCAAAAGTGAATAAACGTTAAAAAAAATTTTTTTTAATGTAGATCAGAACAATTAGATTTTTCCTCTACCAGGTGGGCAAAAAAGTGAAGACTGATCTTACCCAGCATGAGTGAGGAAACCAGGCACGTTCAGTGCTTTAGTAGAAGTCAGTGTAAATTCTGTAGATGGCTGGTGGAGAGGGATCATTTGGCCCCCCAAGTTCATACTTTCATGCACATACTAACTCCACAACTCCACTGCTGGTAGTATACCAAACACATCCATAAACACCAGGACAGTTAACACAACTTGTTTGATTATGCACAAAAGGTAAAAAGGCATCATAAGGAGACTGAGTCAATCCCTACATTCACAGCTAGAACACTACGTGACTGTTAAAAAATGAATGGGAATCTGTTTATGCTGATATAGAAAGATGTCTAAGCCCCATTAGTGAAAAAGTCTGCAGAGCGAGATGCTTTATAACAGGATCTTGTTCTTGCAGGTTTTAAGCAAAAACCACACGCATTTTTTCTTGAGAGAGGATACAGATTCTTTAATGTCGATTTACTTAGGCATGGGAACAGTGCAGCTAATTCAGTTTCTGCTTGTTCCCAAATGTCGGGCCCCACAGGCACAACACGGCCAAAACTGAAGCCAGCATCTCTGAAGGGAGTCAAAGCTGTTTTACCAGCAGGAAACCCAAAGGCGATACAAACCCCTCCTTCAGTAACTCTAGCAAACAGCTGAAGAAGAAACTCACCAATCTGACAGATTGTGAATTGCTGAACACTCTGACGGGTCTTTAGATACCACTCCGAGGGCAGGTCGAACAGGCTGCGGAAAAACAGACATCTCATCCCACAGGGAAGGAAATGGTGTGAAGGCACCCCAGACTCCACTTTGGATCAGCATCTCTCAACCACAAGCAGCATTTTTCTTTGTTACAACTATTACCTACTCCCAGTGCTCAGTGGACAAAGACCACCCCCCCCACCCCACACCCACGAGGGGGGGTGCTGCCCCGGAACCCATGCCAACAAGGTGTCTGCAGAGAAAGAATAAGTGGCCAGAACACCAGTCGGAAGGGCACAGGTGAGCCCCTCCCTAGCTCAGATGTAAGGCAGCTTTGGCTTTACCTGATCTGCTGGGGCCGGGACTGGTTAGAACGAAGGCCCGTGAACTCGATGTCCAGACCTGCGGGGGAGGCAAAAAACAAAAAAAAGACGAGAGTCCGCAGACACAGACCATTGCCACGGCTCTTCATGTTGTAAGTGTTGCAGGTGAGCGAGCGTACTCGACTCAGGAGGCCAGGTGGGGTCAAGAAGACAGAAAGGAGAAAGCCAAAGCAAGGACAAGCCAGGCCACTCATCCCATCCGCTCGGCTCTACCTGGACCACAGTGGGGCCAAGGCATAATCGCTGCCTAACGTCCCACGGCCCAGGCCCCAGAAGGAATGTCCCCATCCGTCGGAAGGGCCCTCTTTGCGCCTCCCGCGGCCTGCCGAGCGTGCCGGCTGGGCCTCCCCTCTCTGACCCTGTCCCGCCCGCGCCACACCCTGTGCAGGCTCCCGCGGGCCAGAGGGATGCGGCGACAGGGCCCGGAATCCCCGCCCTTACCCACGAAGTCCGCGCCCAGGACGAGCTCCTGCAGCAGAGGGAGGCTCTGCTCGAACTCGTCGGCGCCCACATCCATGGCCACGCAGCTCCGCCGAGGGCGCCCGGTGCGGCCACGTGCAGCCACGCGCTTCCGCCGCGCCGGCCGCCTTAAAGGGCTCGCACGGGAAGCGGGCGGCCCGGGAGCCTGCGATTGGCCGCGTGCCGCCACCTGCCCGCCCACAGGTGTCCGCCCTTACACCTCGGCCGCGGGCGGGGCTCGCTTAGACCCCGCCTTCCAGCCAAAGCCCGTTTCCCTTGCTCCGCGCCGCAATCTCTGCAGTGACTTTAAGGTGCGGTTTACCAAGACCTAGGGTATTAGGACGGGTGGTGGGAGAAAATGGTGCCTGAAGAAGGGTGAAAAGAGGCCAGTAGACAGCACCTGGAGGAACTGCGGTCCGTAGGTCAGGACGGCAGCTGTGGCAGGGTGGAGGGACCACCTCTCGTCCGCTTTGAGATCAGCACTTGTTCGCACTTCGCCCGTATTGAGCTGCCCCGTCCCCTCCCCTCCCCCAACACCCCTTCTTTTTCTTCACTTTGTCTGCATCATCCTTTATAATACCATCTATCAAACTCTCCGCAAAAAGCCTCAATAATTGCCCATCGAACTGCAGAGGTGATCTGGGACAATCCTTGCGAGGGAAAAAAAAAATCCACCTATTCCTTGCGGCGGGGGGGGGGGGGACCCACGTACAGTGTCACTTCCAGGTGAACTCTATTTTTGTCTCTGTCAATTTCCGAAGCCACTAGTCCATCGGTCTTTACGTCTTCCCTTGAAGGCCTCTCAGAACCAAACATACTTTTAAAAAATGTTGGTGCATACTTAGCTTTTTTCAGCAACCTATCAAATACTCAGATTGGAAATAGTAATGTTATTTCACTTATGTGTGTATAATTGAGATACACATTTAAAAACTGGGAGGAAATGCTCCAGAAGCTACCCTAACTGCTTACATGTTCTTCCTCTTCACATCTGTCTTAAATAGCCAGAAGTAGTTAACCTCTTTTGATTTAATCCACTCCCGTGAGAGAGCTGCTGTGACTCCCACCCGGCACAGCTTCACCACCCATCCAACAAACTCAATTAATGGCATATGATATACACCAGCCCTGCTCCTTTCCACCGCTCCTTCAGTTCCCCACTGTGCTTTCTTCCTTCAAATCTGCTTCTGCAGGTTAGGGTTCAGGAGCCCAACTGAGGTTAGGATTTGTCCCTTTTCGTCACAGCACTAAGGCTATTTATAATAAATTGACTGATACAGGCATTTCCTATTAAAAAAAGAAAGTCCACACTCTGAGCAGCAACAGCCATCGTTTATTGAGATCACCCTCTGCGCTGGACGTGGTGACATGCAGTTTGCATAAACCTCGTGTGTGTGCTCTTGCCACAGTGAGCTCAAAGGCAAAAAAAAAAAAATATTCATTTAACCAGAAAGTGTTCATAATATGCATTTATTCTTTAGCTTATAAACAATTTGTCCTTCGAAAGTTAATTATCATTGGCAACAGCTTTTCTCAGGTACTTCTGTCCAAGAGAAGGTAAGAATTTAGCCCTTGATGAGCAACAACAAAATACACACACACACACACACACACACACACACACACACACACACACACACGGGGTGAAAGGGACGACCTTCTTAACTGGCAATAACATTCCACTGTTACGTGATTGTATAAAACTTCCAAGCTGGCTGTTCTTCCAGATGCTCTCTTCTGAAGGATGTAACAGCTCACAGCTTTATTTTTTTTTAATTTTTTTTTTTTCCAACGTTTATTTATCTTTGGGACAGAGAGATACAGAGCATGAACGGGGGAGGGGCAGAGAGAGAGGGAGACACAGAATCGGAAACAGGCTCCAGGCTCTGAGCCATCAGCCCAGAGCCCGACGCGGGGCTCGAACTCACGGACCGCGAGATCGTGACCTGGCTGAAGTCGGACGCCTAACCGACTGCGCCACCCAGGCGCCCCAACAGCTCACAGCTTTATATCCATACGTTCGGAACGATGCTTCTAGTTCATTCATAGATTCTCCGGGGCTCCTGCAGCACCACACCGCCTTCTGTCACGGCACTCTGTAGTCGCTTCATCTGGTTTTGAAGATCAGAAAAAAGGAAAAGATTAAGTCAGCACAGTAAGCGGACAATACACCGTGCTTCTCACTCCTCAAAAGAAAGGGAGATGAAACAGCCGACTTGCTCCTTGCTAACTTCCAAGCCTCCCCTGGTTTTTCAGAAAGCGATCTTAATGACACGGATAAGAAGAGACCTTAGAGACGTCAAAGACTAATAGTGTCTCGTTACACACGAGATGTTAGCACGTGAACGGGGAAGCAGAGCAGTCCACGTTGCGGCTGTACACCAGCCCTCCTGGATGGACTCTGGACAAGCCAGCCTCAGGTTACTTGTACACAGGACAGGGGATACTAATCCTGACCCTCTGGGCCACTCTGCAGGTCAGGATACCCACCTCAGCACCTGCCACGTGCAAAGAACCTGAGAAATGCAATTACCGTTACTATGTAAGCACCTGACATCGGGAATTAGTACCTTCTAAATAAACACGAAACCAAAATACCGAGTCTGAGGCTGCCTCCCACGGAGTGGGCTGGTAGACCATGAAGTTGATTCCTGCCTCCAAGCATCGCTCTGCCAGCACCCGTCCCACGCTCTCACAGGCCACCACGTTTGTGGTGCTGTAAAGATGCTTTTTAATGGCCCACTCCCGAGTGGACGCTGAAACCACAACCTGGCCACTGCGATGCTCAACAAGCGCTTCCACGTGATGCTGAGTCCTTATAACTCGCAACCTAAACGAGATGAGAACAGAATAAAATCATAAAAGAATCCTAAAGATTAAAAAGCCTCAGGTGAATAAACGCCAAATATTTCTCAAGAACACGGTGTTTCATTTACTTCAATGCACTTAACCTGGATTTTACTTGGGGAAGGTGTTTGTCCTCTGCCTTTGTGAGGATGACCTCAATAACTAAACCAAACATTTCCACTTAACACCTCAAATATCCTAGAGAAACTTGGTATTTCTGAAAAGTGAGAATTATTGACACAGCAGCTACCTCAAAAAAGGATTTAAGGAGGCAGAGCTAAGCTGTGACCCTGCGATGAGTAAGGATGTATTTACTCTAAGCCTTTATTTATCAGCTAACACCAAAATAAAGATTGATCAAAGATTTAAATGTAAAAAACTGAAATCATAATACTAGAAGGTACACTTTTTTTTTACAATCTCGAAGTAAGCCTATTTAAATGATATCAAACCATGTCATCCAGTTTTTATAAAGACTGACAAATTTTTCTGCAGTTAAAAAAAAAACAGCAAGCTGAAACCAAAAGGCAAGCTAGAAACAAAAAACACTTTAAACACATATTATGCAAAGAGGTAATTTCCACGTAAAAAGCCTCCTATAATCAATAAGAAAATGACCAATAACTTAACAGGCAAAAGATCTGAACAGCCTGTTCACGGAAATAGAAAATATTAATGGCCCTTAGGCCCATGAAAACATGTCCAACCTCACTGATCAAATGCATGGAAAAAACTAATTCATTGCAACCCTGTTTGGAAATCACTGCGGTAATCAACGATATGGAGCCAGCCAACGAAAGCATCCATGTGGTGGTATTCTATGCAGTCACCAGAACGAAGTAGCACTTGATGACGATGCTGCTGACACTTATTGAGCATCTACTGTGCCAGGCACGGTCCTGTTTCAGGCATAGTTCATGTAGCAAAATAATCTCATAACCATTTCTTTTGATTTTTGTTTTTGTTTTTTATTTTGATTTTGTTTTTTGTTTTTTGTTTCAGTCAGAAACTGACCCAAAAAGGTTATGTCACTTTAGCAAGATTACAACTAATGGTAAGTAATGGAGCTGGGATTTCGGTCCAGGGGTCTGGTTCCAGAGCCAATGTTCTTAACCAACACAAAGGAATTCCAAGATGTACTCTGAAGGACGCAGGGAGGATTCAGGCGAAAAACAGTGTATATGGTGTGCTAAAAGATTTGTAATTTATTTTTTTTATCTTAGAGAAAGAGAGCAAGCGGGGGACAGAGAGAGAATCCCAAGTGGGTTCTGCACTCAGTGCAGAGCCTGACACAGGGCTTGATCTCACGACCATGAGATCATGACCTGACCTGAAATCAAGAGTGGGCCACAGTCTGCTGATCCTTATCCTAAACCATGTGTTGAACAAAGGCAGAGGACTCATCTCTAAGGTCACTTCCTACTATAAAATACCAAAATTCTATACTGATAATACTGTGAATATGGCTGATAGAACAAAAAACAGGTGGGAAAATAGATCTCTAATTATTTAAATGATCCAAATATTAAGTAAATAGGTTTGGTGTTTCAAAAGCTTTTTTGACTTAAGATCCAGATTAATTCAAGTTATCTGCCTTCTCCCTTTGACTCCTCCCTATGTACACTAAGTAAAAATGCATCATAACAACTGTAACACTTCATTATCCCTATTCCATCTTTCACTACAAACCCATGAAAACATCTGCCGACAGGGATGACGTCTACTCTATGTTTGCATCTCTTGCCTCTAGCAAAATGCCTATGAAACGCCACAGGCCTAATGATCGTTGAATGAATATATCACACAGATACGATTTCTAACTTTCCGTTACAATTTTATGGAGTCCTTAAGAAACATTCCCCTTTAACACATGCTTACTAAGTAAATCAGCAGATAAAATAAAGCAGCACAGTGATAATAATTTCTAGTGGCCTGGCTCTTAGGGGAGACCAAACATATCTGAATCCTAGCTCTGGTGCTCATTATTAACCTTGTCCCCTTATGCCTCAATTCTGTTGCTCCTATAAAATGGAGCACGTTATTGCACCTGCTTCATAAAGTAATTTTAAGGATTAAATGAGAAAACGTACATAAAGCAACTAATGTAGTTCCTGGAAAATACAAAAGCGGTCAATAAACAACCATCTTTATAACCAAGAATAGACTCCTAACCAGGGCGCCTGGGTAGCTCAGTCCGTTGGGCGTCCAACTTCAGCTCAGGCCTTGATCTCATGGTTCATGGGTTCGAGCCTCACGTCAGGCTCTGTGCTGACAGCTCAAAGCCTGACGCCTGCTTCAGGTTCTGTGTCTCCCCCTCTCTCTGCCCCTCCCATGCTCATGCTCTGTCTCTCAAAAATAAATAAACGTTAAAACAAAAAATTAAAAAAAAAAAAAAAAAGAATAGACTCCTAACTTGTCTTTCTGCTTCTACCCTACCCCCTTAAAAAATCTGCTCACCCCAAAGCAACGAGAATGACCTTTAATTCAAACTCAAACTTTAAACCCTCTCACAGTTTCCTACTGTAGTGAAAAGAAATCATAAATTGCTTACTTCAATTTACAAAGTTAATGATCGGTCTCCTACCTACTCCTCTATTTTCACCTTACACTGTCCACTCCTTCGCACACTAAGCTCACTAAGCTCCAGGTACACAGGCCTTTTAGTCCTTCCAACACACAAGCCCATTACCACCCTGGCCGTTTCCTCTGCTGGGAATGCTCTTCCTGGCAGACTGTCTTCTCCCTATCTTTTAGCAAGCACCCAGCCCCCCCCTCCCTCCGCCCCGTTCTAACATCATCCTCTTTAAATTTTCTTCCTGACATTTATTTACTGTTTGTCCCCCCACGCCCATCTCCTCCTCTGCTAACGTCTCCTCCACCACCGAACAGCAGATCCCTGCGAAGAGAATCCCCAGAAGTATCTGGCAGGTTAACTGAATTGATGAAACCAACTTGTAGCGCACCCTGCACTGCTCTGTCAGTCAATTACCTGGCCGATGTTATTACCTGTGCCAGAACTCACGGGAGGGCCACGCTGTCCCCCAACCCCGCTCTTTCCTGGCCACAGCTAAGAGCTCCAGATTGCGCGGGTTCCGGTTGGTGAACTCTGGCGCGACGGCTTCATTTTCCAGAGGATCCACTCCAGGCTTCACCGCTGGCTTGGAACTGGTTGAGAGCGCTGCGACCCCACACCCTAAGAATGGAAACCACCACATGGATCTTTAAAAAGACAACCACGGACAAAACTGGAATGTGATCTAACCTCTGTCCCCATTCACTCCCCGAATCTTCTCTCCCCGGAAGGGGGAGAAAAGGTAAGTCTGGTCACAGAGTCCAGTCATCACAGATCCTGGTTCTTGACTTCCTACTACTGTCATCACAATGCTGTTAGCCTGGGATGTGCTGAATATAAATCACTACTTGCGTGTGCACACTTATTGGGCAGGCCCTGGGAAGTTATCTGAGAGAAGTGGGAATTACCGCGGTTCCTGCAGACCGACAGCCACTCCCAGAACCGCGACCGGAGCGCCATCGGTGAGGGATCGCGAGCACAGACTCGGAAAAGCCTCGCGTCCTTTCCTCACCGAGGTCCCAACCGCTCGCCGGCCGCAGCCATATTAACTCAGGAAAAAGAACTCGGATTCCGGAGGTCATAGACGTCTCGGCCCGGAACTAACAAGCCCCTCCGCCGAGCGGCTGAGAGGGCGGTCCGTCACCTCTGCTCCTCCAATCACCGCCTACGCTGAGATCCACGCGACCCTGGAGCCCGCCAACCACCTCGCTGCAACGCGACTGGGGGCGGAACGCAACGCACTAGGTTAGGAGAGCTTTTAGCGTTGAGTCGCGGGTCCGAGGCACCCGTAACTTCGCGTTGCCGTATTTGGCTCCCGTAGTCGCAAAGCCTCGGCCGATCGTTGTCGAACCCACACACAGCCCCGCTGAGCAATAGGAGAAACTGGGCAGCGCAAGATGCAGTTTCTCTTCAGAAGCCGTGATTGTCATTTCCCCGGATGGCCCGTGTAACACTCTTGCCCCGTCCCACCCAGGTTCAGGCCCCGAGCTTATGCTGTGACTCGCCGCATGCTCTCCGAGCAAGCTCATACGTTTAACGAGAACGCGACCGTGGAACACACCACACTCTCTCCGTAGCGCAGTTTTACCTTGAAGGGCCCGCCCTTTCTAGTTACACCCTATCTACAAGCTCCGCCCTGCCACCCACTTTTTCTAGAAGGCACTAGAATGGGCAAATGCGCACGCGCAGCCCGTGTCTGGGGGAGGTGGGGAAGAATCTTCAGCCGAGCACCTCCTTCCTCCCCAAGTCCCAGAGCCCGACTTCCGTTCTCCTGCGTTCGCGCCCTTCTCATTCGTTCTCTAATTGGGTGAAAATGCTGAGCCCGCCCTCTCCGGCTCCTCCCTTCCGGGTCTTTCGCCCTTTTCTCTCCCCTCCTTCCCTTCCCGCCCTGCCCCGCGGCCGGGCCGGGGGAGAGGTGTTCCCAGCAGTCTCCGCGGCCTCGCTCAGGCCCTTTCCACGCTGTAGCCGCCACCGCTGTTGCGGACGCCACCGGGCGAAGGGACCCGTACGCTGGTTCCCTGCGGTGAGGGTGAAACTCGACGTGCACGCCGCCGCGAAGATGGAGGGGCCTTTATCCGTGTTCGGAGACCGCAGCACCGGGGAGGCGATCCGCTCCCAGAACGGTAAGGGAGAACAAGGCCCGCCGTGGGCCGGCCTCCCGGCCCCATCCCGGCCCTCCCTATTAGAGCCAGGGCTGCGGGTCTTGCGCTTTCCTCATCTGTACCGGTAAAGGGCCCGGTCCGGTCTCGGCGGGGCGGGGCGGCAGTGCCCTCTATTCCCGTAGGGGAGGATTTCCGGAACACCCAGCACGTTTTGGAGAACTGTCCCCGCTGCGTGTGGTTGACAGTGGATGCCCAGGCCCGGGAGTTGAGAAGCGCTCCCCAGCCTGGAAAACCAGCCTCCCGCATTGACACGTGCTGGTCACGCCCCACGTCCCCTTTGGTCTGGGTGCCCTGCGCCTCGTATGTTCCGATTCTAACCAGGAGGAGCGTGGCTCTCAATCTTTGGACCTCGTTTTTGGGCTATTAAGCCGAAAACGCTAGCTTTAACTGCTGGTTGTACTGATGAGCAAATGGCCACAGTCCAGCAAATGGGCCACTGTACCCCACTGGTTATTAGCTGCAGTACATGTCAGGTGCCCGGATGTCCAGATCCGAATCTTACCCACCTATCGCCGGCAGGTTTTTACAGTAAAATTGGTTGACGAAATCTCAGTTGAACGTTAGCGTAAGTGATACTGAAAGTGAGGTTATTGGGAACGTTAGCGTAAGTGATACTGAAAGTGAGGTTATTGGGATTAAGACATTAGTTGCTGTTTAGTCGAGAGCGTGGACACTTTTGAAATCAGGGATGTTTGCCGATCTTAACCATTTTAAGTAATTTGGATAGATTGGTAGATTTGGAAAATCCAGAGGCTGTTGGGTGTCACCTTCTTTAGGCTGAAATGGTTGTCATTTGGAGCAGTGGGTTTAAAAAAAATTTTTTTTATTTCTACAGTTATGGCAGCAGCTTCTATTGCCAATATTGTAAAAAGTTCTCTTGGTCCAGTTGGCTTGGATAAAATGTTGGTGGATGATATTGGTGTAAGTACACTTACCTGTTGTGTGTTACTCTAAAGAGAAATGATGGTTCTTAACTATTAATGTGAATTCTCTGGTTTTATCATAATGCCGGTATTAGAAGGTGCAGCAAAGGTGATAATAGGGGTTTGTGTTAATTTAGAGGCTGTCCTGTGTCTGCAAGTGATTGTGTTGTTTCTTTTCTTTCCTGCAAATTTCTTAGGATGTAACCATTACTAATGATGGCGCAACCATCCTGAAGTTACTGGAGGTCGAACATCCAGCAGCTAAAGTTCTTTGTGAGCTGGCTGATCTGCAAGACAAAGAAGTGGGAGATGGAACCACCTCCGTGGTAGGTAGTTGGTTACCTGGTAGGTGGCTAGAGACTAGTTATTCTCCTAGAATGGACTTTCACAAACTGAAGCTATGAGTAAGTCAAGGGGGAGAAAATTTACTTTGCTTCTGGGATAGACAGAATTCAAAAACCAGTGCATGTAGTTTGTACAAAGGAGAGAAACTTAAGAGATAATACAGTCCACTCGGTTTAAATGTAGATTTTCAGGGGTGTCCGGGTAGCTCAGTCAGTTAAGCGTCAGACTCTCGATCTCACGGTTCTTGAGATCCCAGCCCCACATCCCACTCTGTGCTGACAGTATGGAGCCTGCTTGGGATTCTCTGTCCCTCTCTCTGCCCACCCCACTTGCACTTTCTCTCTCTCTTAAAATAAATAATGTAAAAGTAAATGTGGGTTTTCACAAGTTTCCTGAGTTTTTCGGCCACAACAGTATTTATACATATACACAAGGGTTTTTTTTTTTAATAGTTTCATTAAAAGGTCTTATGTTTTCGCCACCTGAAACTTAGAAGTTCCTAAAACTTTCTCTTTATAATTATCTAGGGAAGAAATGTTACTGGGTTTAAGAAAAAAAGTTTGCATTTTGAATTTCATGGGTTCAAAATGGGAGCGTGAAAAAGTAAATGTGATCAGTAACAATACAAACTTCTGGAAGATCATCCAGCATGCTGATGTGGTGTGTTGTGTAGTGTAGAAACAGGATTTAGTGAGGAACAAATAAGAATTCACTGTGAAGAGGCAGGCCAGTGGTTTGTGGGGAAAATCTTTGTATTTCTAGATTAAACGTTAACTCATGAAAGAATGGGATCTATCTCTTCTGAAATAACGAGAATAGTTTTTGTCTAAATAACTTTACTATGATTTTAAAAACAAAGTGATAATTTTCCTAGAAGAAGCAGACAGAATTTTTGGTTTTGTAATATCTTTAGAAGAATGATTTAAAAAAAAATTTTTTTTAATGTTTGTTTTTGAGAGAGGTACAGAGACACAGTGTGATCAAGGGAGGGGTAGAGAGAGGGAGACAAAGAATCTGAAGCAATCTCCAGGTTCCCAGCTGTCAACACAGAGCCCGGTGCAGGACTCGAACTCACAAACTGAGATCACGACCTGACCCGAAGTTGGACGCCCAACCGACTGATTGAGTTACCCCTAGAAGAATGATTTTTAAGATCGACCAAGTAATAGTCTAAAATAATAGACATCATTTGAATAGTTACACTCTTCACTTGGCTTCTGTTGAGCACTTCCTTTTTAAAGGTAACAGATGTGCAGTTCTCTACCATTGTGTGGCCTGGCTCCTATTTGCTTTGGCCATCTGCATGTAAATAAAACACTGTGTATAGCTCTCTTTTCTCCAGGTTTCCAATAACCAGTTATTCATCATCGTCACCATTTAACACTAGCTGATCGTTGTTGCAGTGTTGTTTTTACATAGGCGCATGTTGTCAGACTCCGTCAGAGCAATGAATCTTTTTCAACAGGTTATTATTGCAGCAGAACTTCTTAAAAATGCCGATGAACTAGTCAAACAGAAGATTCATCCCACTTCAGTTATTAGTGGCTATCGACTTGCTTGCAAGTAAGACTGCGGTCAGGGAAGATTTTACATTACCTGATGTTATTTGTAAAAAGTCTGTGTTCTGTAAATGTTATTAATGACTAAATTTATTTTGAAAAAGTCACATTTTAGTAGTGATATTTGAGTAAGAAACGGGGCTAGTATTTTTTTTTTCCCATTTGACTACCACATTTTCTCCCAATAATAGATTTTGGTGGCTATGCTTATGGGATAGATAAAAATTGCCGTGATCTGACGAGGGAGGACTTACTTGTGTCCTCCTCCTGTATGAAATGGCTGAACAAAAAATTGGTCCCCGTGACGTTTTGCCATTGTGAGAAAACAATGTTTTGAGTAGTGAATTTATAAATGTCTTTCCCTACACACTTCAAACAGGGAAGCTGTGCGATACATCAGTGAAAATCTAATTATTAACACAGATGAACTCGGAAGAGATTGCCTGATCAATGCTGCTAAGACATCGATGTCTTCCAAAATCATCGGAATGTATCCTTGTGATGGTTCGATAAAGTTGAGGCTTTTTAAAGAGTAAGATCTTGTTTTTGTGCCGGGTGATACTGTATTGAAATTGTCTGCTTCCTTCCTTGCTTTCCTAGGGGAAAAGTCAATAGTGTATAATAGTAATAGGAATTGCAGGTAGCAATAAATGGTATTTTAACATTTTGACAGCATAATTAATGTTTTGTTTTTTTGAGGAAACGGTTAAAAGGAAGTGCATTTGAGTTACCCTGGTTTTGGGGCGCCTGGGTGGCTCAGTCGGTTAAGCGTCCGACTTTGGCTCAGGTCACGATCTCGCGGTATATGAGTTCGAGCCCGGCATTGGGCTCTGTGCTGACTGCTCAGAGCCTGGAGCCTGTTTCGGATTCTGTGTCTCCCTCCCTCTCTGACCCTCCCCCGTTCGTGCTCTCTGTCTCAAAAATAAATAAACATTAAAAAAAAAATTTTTTTTTTTTTAAAGAATTACTCTGGTTTTTGTGAACAGCCATTATCCATTCTGTGTCTCTTGTTCTCCTTAACTGTTGGCTTAGAAATGGTGATTTCTTCGCGAATATGGTAGTAGATGCTGTGCTTGCAGTTAAATACACAGACGTGAGGGGCCAGCCTCGCTATCCTGTCAATTCTGTTAATATCCTGAAAGCGCACGGGAGGAGTCAGACGGAGAGTCTGCTCATCAGTGGCTACGCA